TCCGTGAGGAGGCTGAGCCTTAGCGAGGCACAGTGAGCAGCCCAGGGTCCAGAGGAGGCATCTGGGGCCCTGGGAGCTTGGATTCCTTGCTCTTTAGAAAGCCCGTCCTTCTCTCCTGCAGGCTCGGGAGGAAGCCCTGACCCTGTGACAACATGCCCTTAGTTTTTCCCTGACAACAGCCCTCTCTGTCCTGGGAGTGGGCGGTGCCAGCCAGGGCAGCACCCTGGTTCTTTCTCTCATGGTGATGATGACCCTGGAGCTCTGAGACGCCAGCGCAACCCCACCAAGGATGGAACTGCTCTCCTTCTTCCCCACCAGCCTCTCTCTCTCTCTCAGGGCTCACAAGCCCCTCCCCCCTGAACAACGGAGAGACTGTCCACGTGTCATCTGTGTTTACAGCTAATGGACGATGACCGAGCAGCAGGCATCTCTGACCGAGTAGCTGACATTGGAAACCAGAACAGAACCCAGAAAACCAAAGTCAGTGCATCCCGAACGACCCAGTTCCTGGCTATGATGGAGGGAGGCTAAGCGGTTGGTGCCATTGCGGCTTCGAAGCCAGACAGTGTTGGGGCCGAGTCCCGGCATTGCTCCTCGTGGCTGTGTGGTTGTGTGCAACAGGCTTAACATCTCTGAGCCTCAGTTTCCACACCCACTGCCCGGAACCTGCAGACTAGCCAAGATCTTACTCTGCTTTCTCCCTCACTCCCACCTCCCCAGTGCCTGGAACATGGGGCTGGTTCTGAAAACATTTGCCACGTGAATCGTAGACTGAAGCTGTCAGACAAAGCTGGTAACACCCCCCGCCCAGGTATGGTGAGGATGTGGCAAGAAGAGGCATGCGCAGGGGACGACAGTGTCCACCGCGGACGCACACTGTCTTGTGATGGCTGCCACCTTCCTGGGTCGTGGACTGGTGGTTCCATGATGGAAGCTGTGAAGACCAGTCCTGTGTGACGGTCCTTGGGGCGAGGGAGGCACGTGTGCCCATTGGGGGCACAGCGTTCCTGTGGAAGGTCACCCCTGTCTCTCCCACTCCCACCTTCCCCCCACGTCCTAGCGAGTTTGGGAATGTTTGTGGAAAGCACACGGGAAGCGGGGGACCGGAGGCTCTGTGCAGCTAGCAGAGAGGCTGCTGTGGGGAGGGCAGCCAGCGCGGACGGGCTGCAGAGGGGTCCTGGCCATTTGCACGTGGCCTCCTGCCCGGTGCCAAGTTCGGTAACGGTGCTTGGATGACCTTGAGGTCTCCCTTGGGGTTTCCGGAGACACACTTCTGTCTCTTGTCTCCCAAAAGCCCCCGGTCTGTGCAGAGGGGCCACTGGCGGACAGCAGGAGCGGGGGAAGGTTTACTACGGGGAGAGTCAGTGCCGTTAGTGAACAAAACTGACCCTCCATGGCCTCATTGCCCGGCTTTCCCGACACAAGGCCACACCACGATGCTGCCTCAGAACCCAACTCCACGTCACCCCAACAAACACGCCACGGCCCCTTCTTCTCTCCTGAAATGACACCACAGCTCAGCGTGGTCCCGGGGTCAAAAGAAGACCAGGGATACCCAAGCTTACAGCCAGCATTCCGCTCTGATCTCACACAGGCCCAGCCTCAGCTCACCTCCACGCAGTGTCTCGTTCAGATGCAGCATCACCGACACCTCACCCTTCAGCCCAGCACGGCCCCACGGCAGCCCTGGCCCACCTGAGCCCCAGCCGTCCAGCGCCAGCTCAGCGAAGCCTCATGGGCTCCGGCGGCGGAAAGAGAACAGCAAATAAAACAATTGCGTTGGAAAACCCAGTCTCCTAACCAAACTGTGTGGCCATGTGTGACTGGGGTTTTCCCGGACTCGGGGCGGAGGAAACAAATGCCCATGCCCTTGGATGGCCAGCAGGCACTGTTTCCCGTGACCTTGACTGTTGTTCCCCAATTTTCCCGGTTCCCTCAGCCACCGTTCGTCTTGGCTAACCGCGGCAGGGATGGCGTGCCAGCCTGGGCCTCGGAGACAGCGCCAGGAGGGAGTGTGTGTGTGTGGGGTGGAATGGGGTGAAATGGGGAGTGTAACGGGGGGGGGGGGGGGGAACTGTTAGCCTCCCTGGAAAGAGGGCTGTCCCCTGGCAGCGCTGTGTGGTCTCCTCGTCCATCCAAGACAAACCTCAACCCCAGGGCGTGCTTTGGCCGCCGGGGGGAGAGAAAAAAAAAAAAATTAGAACAAAGTTTGCTCCCTTTTCTCAAGAAATGGACCCAGGGACCCAGGCTCGGCTCCACGCTCGGTCTTTCCCCCTTTTTAAACAAACCGCCTGGCTTTTAAGATCTTCAGAATCCCATTAAAGGCTTTCACCCCTTCACATGTCGGAGGCGTCTGATGAAAGGGGGCGGCGGGGAGGGAAGGTAACAGGGCCGCTGAGAACAGAGACCAGGGCCCTAATTCCGCCCGGCTCCGTGGCGGTAATGGTGTTGGATGTAAACAGTGCCCTGGTGAGCGCCGGGCGTGATTACAGGACGGCTGGGGGAGAGGAAGTGTGTGCTAACCGCGGGCAGGAATGTCCCCTTTGAAGGAGCTTGGCACAGAGTCTCCGCGGCCTCCCGGACCCCCGCAGCCCCAGCCCCGAGCCTCTCTCCCCGGCCGGCTTCTCCGGGTTCCCCAAACTGTAAACACAGTGACAGAAATTAGACGTGGGCAAATCTGCTAGACATTTTAAGCCCAAGTGGGCTTGGCAGTTGTCTCACGCGGCTGGATATGCGAGACAAGGCTAATAACTCAGTAATGGGCCTTTTGTTTCTGTCTGGGGACTGGCGGGAGGGGAGCGGGGGGTGGCCGGGGTCTGAGCCCAGGAGGCCAGGCCGGCTGGAAACCGGGGCCCGGCCGCTGTGAGGGACCCCGCTCACGGTTCATGGTCAAGTTCTGGACCCTTCCCGTGCTCAGAAGGGCAGCCAGGGCCCAGCACCCGTCGGCACGCCCGGGCCCCTCCTGCTCCCTGTGGCGGCCTCTTCATTTCTTCCATCCGTGACGTTCCCGGTGACGTCAATGGGGCTCCATGTGCAGCACACGTGCGGCCGGGGGACCCCCGGGCGGCACCAGGGAGCGGCCTGGCTCCGGGCGCGGCCTGCCTACGTGCTTTGCCGTCTGGAAGGCTCCTCCTGGCAGCAAGCTCATGTGCTTAATGCTGGTCAGATGGTGGGGTGGGGGGGGGCCGGGAACCCGCAGATGGGAGCTCCACGAAGTGTCTGTGGAATTAATTCAGCGAATGTGTCCTGGGGGCGCCGTGCGAGTGGGGGAGACGGAGAGGAGATGCTGGGGAGCATGACGAGGTCGCCTTTGTCTTCCTGGGGAGCTCCGTGCCGGGGTGCCGTGTGTTAAAGGCCGGATTTCACAGACGGTCATTTAGCCGGAGCATGTCAGCTACCAGGAAAGGGGGTGCGATACGTGCTTTCACTAGACCCGTGGTCGGCAAACTCATTGGTCAACAGAGCCAAATATCAACAGTACGGCGACTGAAATTTCTTTGGAGAGCCACATTTTTTTAAACTTAAACTTCTTCTAACGCCACTTCTTCAACATAGACTCGCCCAGGCCGTGGTATTTTGTGGAAGAGCCACACTCAAGGGGCCAGAGAGCCACAAGTGGCTCTAGAGTCGCAGTTTGCCGACCACGGAGTTAGGGGTGGGAGGGGGTGTGTGCGCACATCAAACCCAAGCATCTGGCTCCAGAGCCGATGCTCCTAACACGGCTCTCGCTTCCGTGTCCCCTCCCTGTTCCTGTGAACCGGAGGGTTTCCTGCTGGAATACACCCCGAAAACCATCACCCTGAGTGTTTGAGGTTTTTATTGAATTTTTATTAAGTAGTAGTCATTATTTAAGTATTCTTCTGTGTCTACTAAGTATTTTCTAGGCCAATCACAGTGCCGGCCATGGGACTTAGAGATAAACGGATAATAACTTCAGCGAGGCACAGTGCTAACGGCTTTGCAAAACACAGGCTCTCAATTGATTTTAGCAACAGTTCTGTGAGGTCAGCACTGTTATTACCCCGTTCCCCTGAGGAGGTGCAGGGCCTGGAGGAGGAGGCACCTGCTGGCCCCGGGGAGGCTGCCCACAGTCGCTTCCCTCCCCCGAGTGGTGCGGGGTTGTGCCCTCTGACTTTCCAGCCCAGTGGCGGGGGGGGGGGGGGGGGGGGGCAAGTGATTTGGGGACACAAATGCCCTAGAGCAGGCTGCGGGCGGGGCGGGGTGGGGGGGGATGGAGGAGACAGCGCCCTTTGCGGGGGTCAGAGTGGAAGTTGGTTCTCAGAGGTGGCAACAGCTCGGACACTCCCGAGTATTGAGCCGATGCTACCCTGTTTCCCCGAAAATAAGACAGTGTCTTATATTAATTTTTGCTCCCAAAGATGCGCCAGGTCTTATTTTCAGGGGATGTCTTATTTTTCCATGAAGAATACGGTACACATTTATTGTTAAATGAAAATAAAGGAAATTTATTACCTGTCTACGGTACGGTAGTACGGTAGTTGTCCACACAAACCAGACAAACTGTGAATCCTACAGTATCAAGAATTTACTCATTTATTCAATGACAATCATGTCATCATCTTCTGGAACATCATCATAGCAATCCAATTCCTGAATTTCCTGGTGAATTTCTTGTGATTCCTAAGGGGAGCCTTATTTGGGGGGGAGATGCCTTATATTTCACTCAGAAGGAAACCTATAAGTAGGTCTTATTTTCGGAGGATGTCTTATTTTCAGGGAAACACGGTAGACACACGAAGGAGAGGGGGCATTCCAGGGGAGGTGGAGGTGGAGGCAGAAGTGGGGCGGGGTGGGGTGAGGTGGGGCGGGTGCCACAAGTAAGAAGGCGAGGAAAGTAAAAGGAAGTGGTGTGGGGGGACCCGCTACAGACGCGCGTGGCTGTGGAAATCCTCTACCAGGAGCCCACGGAGAGGGAGCTCCATGCCACACTACGTGTCCTGGTCCAGTCTGCTGACGGCAGTGCTTCTTGGGCAGTTTTCGCCCTTCCTAACGCCACAGCCCCTTAATACAGCTCCTCATGCTGTGGTGACCCCCAACCATAACATTATTTTCGTTGCTACTTCATAACTGCAATGTTGCCACTGTTATGAATGGTCGTGTAAATATCTGTGTTTTCCGATGGGCTTAGGGGACCCTGCTAGTGGTTCTCAACCTGTGGGTCACAACCATCGGAAAACAGAGATATTTAATATAAATATATTATGATTCACCGACAGTGGCAAAATTACAGTTAAGAAGTAGCAACGAAAATAATGTTATGGTTGGGGATCACCACAGCATAAGGAGCTGTATGAAAAGGCCGTGGCATCAGGAAGGTTGAGAACAACTGTCCTAGGGGGTGGGCACCCACCCGCCCTCAGGGACCTCCCCCGGCCTGAGTCTCAGCCAGCAGCACGGCCCGTCCCTCCCACGGTCCCAGCGCCGCCTCTGCAGAAAGCGCAGGCCTGTGCAACTCCTAGAAGCCTGTCTCTTACCCCACGAACACATCATTTATTTCCTCTAAGTGCCTGTCTCCCTTTTCCTCAAATATGCTCAGGGTTACAACTTTCCCTGCCTCCCGGGGGAGCCGCCCACTCCCCGCAGCCATCACTCACTCCACAGGCCGCCTCCGAGCCTCTCGGCAGCCTTCCTCCCGGGCCCTCACTGACCGGCCAGCTGGAAGGTCAGCTCGCACCCCGTTCCTGGTGAAAGACAGCCGCCATTTTGGATCTCATCTGGAACTGGGTACCCGGGGGCATCCTTCTCTCCGCTGCCTCTTCGCTCAGGCTGAAGGCAGCGTAATTGATGTAGTGCCTCCCCACTGCTTCTTTCACACATCCACCTGGGAAAATGGAGATTTATTTTTTTCGTAACCTAATCATAAGATGGATCGCATGGCCAAGTAAGTCTAGTGATGCTGAGATGGTTCAGGGGCAGCGAACATAACTTAGAAAAGTTACAAGCACAACTTCATTCACCTCGTTGGGTGTCATTCTTCTCATCGGTGAAATGAAGACGTGATTGCCGCTCAGTCCTTCTCTATCGCACCCAGCGAGGCGGACGGGTCAAGCGTGCAGACACAGCAGACGCCACAAGGCAAGCTACGGAAATAACTCCCTGCCAGCCAAAGCTCACTGCCGCCACCCAAAGCCACCAGGAGGCCCTGGGAGGGGTGAAAGGAGAGACTTATTCAGGTGACTTGTTTGCACATCGGAGAAACCGGGCGTGTCTCCTTATAGAGGGAGACCCACTTATATAGACAAAGTCCTTGCCCTGGTCCTAATGGGTCTATGGGTATGCAGATGAGGAATCCAAACGTGCATCGTCTGATTGGTCCAAATAGCACCGTCCTGGTCCGTTGAATTCACGCGTTCTGAGTGGTCATTGTGGAGCTGCTCTGATTGGTCAGTAAAAATGCAAATGAGGATATAGCTGTGCCGTTCTGGTTGGATGAGGCAGGTCTCATTCCATTGGTTGAAATAGATTCCAGGATCTCCTTTATGAGGATGGGCTCAGATGGCAGGAAGGTACAGGAGGCTTGGCAGCCCTGTCGGTGGCTCTCTCCTGAAACCCAGCATGCGTGAGAGGCCCCCTCTGCACAGAAGCTGCTAGACTCTGATTAGAAACTGGGCTCAGTTAACCACAAGGAGTTCTTTTTGACAGGCATATCCACTCTCTGGGTCAACAATATCAACAATCACGATGCTGGCAGTAGCAAAATCAGTTATAATAACTGGGGCTTGGAAATGAAAAAGAATCCTTAGGTAAGAACCAGGCTGTGTGGGTTTGAACTCCAACTATAATATATAATATAATAGCTCTGTGACCTTGGGCAAATTGCTTACCCTCTCTGTGCCTCAGTGTCCTCAGTTGTAAGAAGATGATAGCTGTTCTTCCTCAAAAAGTTGCCATATGAATTAAATCAATGACTCCAGGACTGCTCAGAGTCGTGCCTGGCACATTGTAGGCACTACACAAACGTTTCTTACTGTTGTTATTGTTCTTTACGACTTATTTCTAAATTTGCATGTGGAAATCTTGACTTTCTCTTTGGACAAAAATGTCCCTCCAGTCCTGGCTCCGTTGGTTGGGTATCAGACAGCCCATGCATGCACTGAGGGGTTGTCAGTTCGATTCCCCATCAGGACACAAGCCTGGGTTGCAGGGCATGCAGGGGACAGCTGATCAATGTTTCACTCACATCGATGTTCCTCTCCCTCCCTCCCTCCCTTCCTCCCTTCCTCCCTTCTTTCTTTTTAAGAATTAAAAAAAAATTTTTTTTAAACCATCTCTCCAGGTTCAGAAGCTTATATTCTGTAATTTGTTCTTATTAAGTATAACACCTAGTAGTGTGAAGAAATTGGTAGTACACGGACCCCTCAGCCCTCAGAAAAGGTGGTTTTCTTTATGCGAAGGGAAGTCTGGCAATCAAGGCTCTTTCATTCTGACACAGCTCCCTGGCTGGCCCCGGTGGGCAGTGGATAAACACGTGCTGGTGCATCCTGGCGAGAGGCCCCTGCGTGGCTGTTGTCCGCGTGTCTTTCCTTCATTAGAACCTGCGGTAAAACTCTCTGACACGGTCCAGGCCCGGCCTCACGCTGAACTAAAACAAACGCTTGGGGAACTCTGGCCCGGGAGGGGCGGGCATGCTGTGTGTAACCATCACCTTCTACTCGCCCAAGGAATGGTAAAACTTAAAAAAAAAAAAAAAAAAAAAAAAAAAAAAAGAGGCAAAAATGTATGAAAGAGATTAAGGCCCGGCATGAAAACTATTTTTATAGGCAGCTTGGCCTCCACTTTGAAGTTCAGTGGGGAGTGATGTATGGCGATCAGCTTGGATTTCACACCTAGTCAATCCTGTAGCCAGGTAGTGATGGACAGCGTCCTTGGGGCATAGAGGAATGAGGCGGAATTGAGACAAGCTGGGAAATGGCCCCTTGCTGCTAATTCATCTCCCGGGGAGATTCGGATCCGCCAGAGGACGTTTAAGCTTGTTTCCCCTTTAAATTAGAAAGATGGTGTGACAATATGAAAAAAAAACACAACACATTTTGGAACAAGAGGAGAGAGAAAACAAAAACTAGTCACTCCTAACCCTGACACCCAGGCACAAAAACATTTTCCTTCTGACAGATTGCTAGTTAGTCTTGGGCCGCAGGCCAACGTGGGATTGACTCCCAAATGATCTTTCATTCTGAACTAGGACTTTCTCATCCTTCCCACCTCGCTCCCTCGTGGAAGGAAACAACCGTAACGTCCCAAGACCGTTTTTTTCTGCTTTGAAAACGAGAACGCCTCACCGCGTCTGCAATAGGGTGTCCCCTCTCAGATGGTATCTAGCACACGGGCTGCAGCTTGGCCTTCTTGGTTAAAGGCTTTATTTGATTCATTTGTGTATGTATTTCAAGCACAGTTATTGGGGTGGCATTGGCAAAGATGATATAGGTTTCATGGGTACAGATGTCATGATACGACATCTGTATATTGTATTGCGCGCCACTACCCAGCGTCAGGCCTTCTTCCGACTCCATGTCATGGCGAGTGTTGGAGAGGCTGTGGAGGAAAGGGACCCTCATTCGCCGCCGGTGGGGATGTACACGACTCTGGAGAACATTCTGGAGACTCCGCAAAAAATTAAGGTTTCCAAATGATCCAGCAGCCCTGCTTCTGGGTATCGACCCTCTAAATTGGAAAACATTTATTTGCCAAAAATGTATGCACCCCTGTGTTCATTACAGCATTATGCATGGGGGACAAGGCATAGAACCCCCGTATCCTTCGGGAGATCAGATAAAGGTTTTAAATCGGAGCCGGCGGCATGCTGCATTTCCACAGAAGCACATTCATTTAGACCCTGTGCCCATGTGGCCAGCGGTCATGTCCGAGATTGGAATGGACTCATTCATTGGCCATTAGGCCCCGCCCCCATCCAGTTCTCAGGACCTCAGGCCCCGCAGAGTACCAGCCTGCCCCTGAGGTCGCCATGGGAACAAGGTAGCTGCTGCAAGCAGGGGACTCGGGGCTTCCTTGGGGCTCCCCTCCCTGCAGCCACACGTCCCATGGACACGCCAGCCTGTTCTGGTCTTAGCACGTTCACACCTGCCGTTTCCACTGCCAGAGACCCGGTTCCCAGCTCCCCTGACCTCCCCCCTCCTCGGTCCCCAAACTCAATTTCTTGTATCTAGCGCTTAGCTCCCCACCTGCGGACCTGCCCCCCGCAGTACCCATCTCCCGGCCCCTGCCGCGCCCTTTAGGCTCTAGCGAGGCTCCCACACCTGGAATTCCAGCGGAATCTCAGTCCCTCCTGACCCTGCTTCACTGTGCCTATGCTGTCTCTCCCCCGCCCCCCCCCCAAACCCCCTAGCCCTGCAAGGTCCTTCCTACTCCTCATTCCACATTTGGGGAAACAGAGGCAGGCAGGCAACTTCCCCACAGTCACACATGAGCAGCCAAACCGCAAACACAAACCCCGAATCCGGCTGAATCCAAAGCCTCTCTGCTCTCCCAGGGCCTCCGTTAGACCAAGTGCCCAGCTGCCCCCTCACGGATGTTCTCCTCCCAGAGTCTGCCGTCCGGGAGCCTAACTCACTGCTCAGCTGGCACCTCTTCTGTGTATTTCTTCATCTGTAAAATGGGCTCAATAATAGCAGGGGTGTTGTGGGCCAGATTAATTACCGCTTGGACAGGTTCTCTGAGGTTCCCTGGACGAAAGGTGCGAGGGAAGTGCCAAGGTCATTAAGGCAGAGACATCTGCCAGGCCAATTCAGGGCTCCCCCCACTTTCCACCTGGCAGCCCGCACGGCGATTGCTGACTCAGGAAGCGGTGACCAGGGCTGGCGCTGCGCCACCCGCAGGCCTCAGTGACGGCAGAGGGTGTGGGTGGCGGTGGCTTTGACTGGGAATGCTCTCACTCCTTGGTGGTTCGTCTTTCCACCTTGAGAGCTGTGACGTCATTTGTGTGTGGCCGTGGCTAGGGCTTAAGGATGTTAGTGGAAAGGAAAAGACTGAATGGCGAGGATCCACAGACTGTGGACTTGGAGAAGGAAACAGCTGCAAGAAGGTGTCTTTGTGGTGAATTGGGCCCCAAATCAGAGCTGGCAGCAGCTGCTGAGGGATGCCCCCCAGGCACACTGATTTCAGCTGCCAGGCACCTGCAGGTGCTGCTGTCTCTGCCACCACTTACCAAGGTGTTCCTGGCATTGCATTTTGATCAGTGGGCTGAGACCTGTCCCATCCAATCAGAACTGCCCAATTATGTCTTCATTTGCATCCATACTGATCAATCAGAACAGCTCCATAACAATAAGTCAGATCATGTAAAACCACCAATCAGAATAGTGCTATGTGGACCAATAAGATTGTGCAAATTTGGATCCGTCATTTGCATAAAAATTAACCCCTCAGAGCTGGGGCAAGTGATTTCTTTATATAAGCAGGTCTCCCCTATGTCTCACGGGAGTCCACTCATATTTCCTCCAGACGCTGTGTTTCTCCAGTTTGCAAACTGTTTGCCTGGGTAAAGTTTCTCCTTTCTCTGCACCCCAGATGATGGACTTCTGTTGGCATTAGCTTGGTGGCAGAGACCTTTTGTGGACAAACTTTTGCCTCTGTGGGAAAGATGATGACAGTCAGTGCCTTAGATATCCCAAGCGCCTGGAAATCAAGAAAGTGTGAGAGGGAGAAATTCAATAGCTACCTCTACATGGAGCAGCTGGAGATGAATGGATTTTACACAATAATGCCCACCCAGTCTCAGAAAGGCACAGCCTGATGGGATTGCAACCCCATTGTTCTGCTTCTCTTTTTATTAAATTGTCCAGTTGCACCACTGATTATCATTTAATTAAGTGTTTTACTTTAGAATAGTTTCAGGTTAACAGAAAAATTATGAAGATAGGACAGAGAGCTCCCATAGATCCCAAACCCAGTTTCCACTATTTATTTATCTTTTAATCTTTTTTTTTATTTTTTTTATTTTCGAGGATGGGAGAGAGAGAAAGAGAGAAACATCTATGTGAGAGAGAAACATTAACCAATTGCCTCCAGTAAGTGTCCTGATGGGGGATCTAACCCACTATCTTTTGGTGTGTGGGATGATGCTCCAACCAACTGGGCCACACTGGCCAGCTCCCCTCATCATAACCTCTCGTGTTCGTGTCATAACTTGTCGCAGTTAATGAACTAACATTGACATGTTATTGTTATTAGAGTCAGACTTTAACTTTTTACCTCATATCCTTTCCTGTTTGTTTTTAAAAAAAATATATTTTATTGATTTTTTACAGAGAGGGAAAGAGATAGAGAGCTAGAAACGTCGAAACATTGACCAGCTTCCTCTTGCACACCCCCTACCGGGGATGTGCCCGCAACCAACGTACATGCCCCTGACCAGAATCAAACCTGGGACCTTTCAGTCTGCAGACTGATGCTCTAC